AATTCAGCGACGTGACGTGGGAAGCGGATATGGACGTGAGGCTTGATTCATGAATCATCCCCAGTAGAGGAAGTTTCAAGTATCTTGGGTTAGTTATCCAGGGGAATGGGGAGATCGACGAGGCTGTCACACATCGTATAGGGTCAGGGTGGATGAAATGGAAGTCGGCATCTGGCGTCTTGTGTGACAAGAAGGTTCCACCGGAACTTAAAGGTAAGTTCTATAGAGCGATGGTTAGACCGACCATGTTATATGCTGTAGAGTGTTGGCCAGTCAAGAATTCCTACGTACAAAAAATGAAAGTAGTAGAAATAAGGATATTGAGATGGATGTGCAGGCACACTAGGTTGGATAAGATTAGAAATAAAGATATTTGGGCGAAGGTGGGCGTAGCTCCCTTGAAAGACAAGATGCGGGAAGTGGGGCTTAGATGGTTCAGGCACGTGTAGAGGAGAAGACTAGATGCTCCAGTTAGGAGGTGCGAGCGGTTGGCCTTGGCGGGTATGAGAAGAGGTAGAGGGCGGCAGAAGAAGTATTGAGGAGAGGTGATTAGGCAGGACATGGCGAGACTCCAGATGATTGAGGACATAACCCTTGATAGAAAGGTGTGGAGGTCGAGCATTAGGGTTGTAGGTTAGTAGGTAGTTGAGTGTTTCCACTTAGTACTGGGTGTAGGGCTAGTACTTTAGTGCCTTGTTTTCGTACTATTTTTCCGCTCCGGTTTCCTAATACCTTACCATTGTTACTAATCACTAATATTGCTTTTTATTTCCTTTTCCATTTATTTTTCTGATTCTTGGATTGCTTTTTCCATTTATTTTTCTGATCCTTAGATCGATGGTAATATCTTTTTTGCCTCTGTTTCTGATACTGTTCTATTGTCTCTTTTCATCTTCTTGTGCCGAGAGTCTATCGAAAAATAGTCTCTCTACCCCATAGAGTAGGGGTAAGATTTGCGTACACACTACCGTCCCTAGACCCCACTTGTGAGATCATACTGGATTGTTGTTATTGTTGTTGTTGTTGTAGTTTTAAAAATGCATGAGAATGGGGGTTGATAACATTTGGATACAAGTAATTATCTACATATTTGGTCGTTTATCTTCAAATGATTGATGCCCCACTAAGGAAGAAAAAGCTCCCACGTTTGAGAGAAAAGCCCTTGGGCTAAACGAGGGTCTGGTAATTTGAATAAAAGCCCTGCCCTCATATCATGGAGAATTGTGTGTTCTTGAATCATTATTTTCATTATTAGTATCAGAGCAATAATTATTTATTTCCTAGTTGTAACTAAGAAAAAACGGAACGATTATTTTTAGAATGAATGTTACGGTAATAGTTTATCCATTATTCTATCAGATATTTTGCTACCTTCTACAGCACAAGTACCAGAATAATATTTAGGCAGATAACTATTATTCTCTTATTATTTTTGGTACTTTATTTCAAAATTTATTTTAATTTTTCAAACGTTGTTTTCTTTCCAGGAAAAAATATTACTCACTTTGTTTCACTTGTTTGGTACTATTTCGTTATTTAGTTTAAAAAAATGACACGTTTTAATATACACTTAATGAGAAGCTTTTATAGCAAGGCGGAGCCAGTATGTTGCCTACAGATTCGGTCAAACCCAGTAACTTTGGTTCAGTTATTAATGTGAAACCTAAAGGATTAGAGTTACGAACCCAATAGTTTTAAATCATGTCTCCACCTCTGTTTTACAATCACATAAATAATATAACACATGTTTAAGATCACAAGTTTCAAAAAATTTATAATCACATAAATGTTACTTCCTTCGTCCCAACTTATGTGACAGTATTCAAACTTCGAGACTCAAAAGAACGGAGTAGGTATTCTAGTTGATAGGGATCTCAGGGAGTTAGTGGTGGATTTAGGAGGGTGAATGTTAGGTTGATGACCATTAAACTAGTGGTTGGTGGTGTCACTTTTAACGTGATTAGGCACTTATGCGCCTAAAGTAGGACTGGGTGAGGAGGTCAAAAAGCACTTTTGGGATGATTTGGATGAGGTTGTGTTATATTTCACACACCAAAAAGCTCTTCATGCGGGGTGATTTTAATGGCCATATTAGGGAGATAGCTAGGGGTTGTGACGAGGTGCATGACGGGTTCGATTTCAAAGTTAGGAACAAGGGCGGTACCTCGTTGTTGGATTTTGCTAAAGCTTTTGACTTGGTGTTAGCTAATTCATGTTTTCAAAAGAGGGAGAACCACTTGGTCACTTTTCGGAGTAAGATAGCCATGACTCAGATTGATTACCTTCTCCTTAGGAGAGGTGATAGGGGCCTTTGTACTGATTGTAAGGTTATCACAAGTGAGTGTTTGTCGACGCAACATAGGCTCTTGGTAATGGACTTGGAGGTCAAGAAAGCAAAGAAGAAGAGAGTGTTGTATGACCAATCCAAGATGAAGTGCGGAGCCTTGACTAAGGCAAAATCTCAGGAGTTAGGGGAGAAGTTATTGGCCATGGGGGCCTAGAGGAGTAGTGGGGAAGCGAATAGTATGTGGACCACGACAGCTAACTGCATTAGGGAAGCTGCTAGAGAGGTGTTAGGGGTCACGAAGGGTTATTCGGGAGGCCACAATGGGGACTGGTGGTGGAATGAGGAGGTCCAAAGAAAAGTGAAAGCTAAGAAAGTGGCATATCTGAAGCTAGTGGGGGAGCACGGACGAGGGGGAGAAAAGGACGTGTAGGGAGTGCTATAAGAAAGCCAAGGAAAGGGGCAAAATTAGCAGTCACGGCAGCTAAGACTGCAGTTTTTAAGCGATTGTACGAGGATCTTGGGGGCAAATGAGGTGACAGAAAGTTGTACATGTTAGCCAAGATTAGGGAGAAGAAGGCCGGGACCTGGACCAAGTGAGGTGCATCAAAGACAAAGATGGTACGGTATTGGTAGAGGAGGCGTGTATCACTCGTAGATGGCAGAAGTACTTCCATAAACTCTTGAACGAGATAGGGTAGAGGAGCATCGTGTTGGGTGAGTTGGAGAACTCAGGAAGTCGGAGGGTTTTTGGGTTTTGTAGGCATATTAAGAACGAGGAAGTGAAGGGGGCAAGCGGAAGATAAGTAGGGGTAAGGCCATTAGGCTTGACGAGATCCCAGTGGAATTTTGGAAGGAAGTGGGGCGGGCTGGCTTGGAGTGGCTTACTGGTTTGTTTAATGTCATTTTCAGGACTAAGAAGATGCATGAAGATTGGCAGTGGAGTTTGATGATCCTGTTGTATAAAAAGAAAGGTGATATATGGGTATCAAGATGTTGAGTCATACTATTAAAGTTTGGAAGAGGGTGGTGGAGAGGAAGGTGCGGAGAAGTGTAACTATTTTTGAGAACCCATTCGAATTTATGTCGGACGGTCAGCTGCAGAAGCCATTCACCTTGTGAGGAGATTGGTGTTGTAGTATAGGGAGAGGAAGACAGACTTGCATATGGTGTTCAATGACCTAGAGAATCCTATGATAAAGTCTCTAGAGAGGTCCTAAGGAGATGTATGGAGGCTGGGGGGTTTCCCGTAGCATACATTAGGGTGATTAAGGACATGTACGAGGGAGTGAAGACTCGGGTGTAGATCGCGGGATTAGACCTAGATCATTTTCCAGTAGAGACGGGGTTACATTAGAGATCGAGTCTTAGCCCGTTTTTGTTTGACCTAGCGTTGGATGTGCTGACGCGACATATACAAGGGGAGTTCCCATGGTGTATGCTATTTGCTGATGACATAGTTCTGATTAACAAGACGCGAGGCAAAGTTAACGTTAGGTTTGAAGTTTGGAGACAGATGCTGGAGTCTAAAGGTTTTAAGTTGAGTAGGTCGAAAATGGAGTAAGTGCAAATTCAGCGATGGGATGCATGAAACAGAAGTGAAGATTTATACTCAAGTTATCCCCAAAAGAGATAGTTTCAAGTATCTTAGGTTTATTATCCAAGGCAAAGGGAGATTGGCAAGGATGTTACTTATCGTATTAGAGCGGGGTGGATGAAATGGAGGCTCGCTTCGAGGGTTTTGTGTGATAATAATGTGCCACCTAGACTTAAGGGCAAGTTCTATAGAGTGGTGGTTAGACCAACTATGTTATAAAGGGCTAAGTGTTGCCCGTCAAGAAGTCCCATGTCCAGAAGATGAAAGTAGCTGAAATGAGGATGTTGATATGGATGTATGGACATACCAAGAAAGACAAGATTATAAATGAAGTTATTAGGGACAAGGTGGGAATGGCCTCTGTGGAGGAAAAGTTGTGGGAATCGAGGCTGAGATGGTTCGGGCATGTGAAGAGGAAAGACATAGATGCTCCGGTCAGGAGGTAGGAGAGTTTGAGTATGGCGGGTCCGAGGAAGGGTAAGGGTAGGCCAAAAAGTATTGGGGAGAGGTAATTAGGCAGGACATATCATTGCTTCGGCTTACCAAGGATATGACCCACGATAGGTAGGTGTGGAGGTCGAGGAATAAGGTTGAAGGTTGACAGGTAGCAGTGTGTTTCTCCTCGGCTTACCGGTAGTACTAAGAATATTCTTGTATTTTCTTATTCATGGTTCTTTATTACATTGTTGTTACTATTGTTTGTTGCTTGGTTGCTTTATTTTCACTGTTCCTTGAGCCGGGGGTCTATCGGAAACACCCTCTCTATCTTTATAAGATAGGGCTAAGGTTTACGTACACACAAACCTCCTCAGACCCTACTTATAGGATTATACTAGGTTTGTTGTTTTTGTAAAAGAATTATTCTTCGACTATAATTTTTGCATATGCCTTTTAAAAATTTTAAATTATTAATTTTTGTGGCTTGGAGAAATTTTACGTAGTTTTTAAATATGTAAATTTTAATTTGAAAAGTTAAAAATATTTATATATACTATCAAAATTAAGAAGTTCGAACCTCAAAAAATAAAAAGTATCTCATAAATTAAAATAGAATAAATATTATAAATACTTAAGACAATAAGTTTAAAAAATATTGTCACAGAAGATAGTACTAGAATAAGAAACCGTACGATTCTGCTTTCAGGTAAAATATTCCGCGCTACATCTGTGACTTCGGGAAAATGGTGAAGTTGTAGTTCTCATCAGATTCAAGCATGGAGTCAGTTGGGTGTAGTTGAAAACTGGAAGTAACACCTCAAACAACAATGACGGCAACCGTAAATCTATCTCTATCTCCTCTTCTCTCCACTCCCCAACAACCTCAATCAAATCGAAGTACAACAACCGACCTAATCAAATCATGCAAAAACCTTAACGAAATCAAACAGCTGCATGCCCGTTTCACTAAACAAGGGTTCAATCAAGACCCTGGTTTTCTTGGTAAACTCATTGCTAAATGCTCCGAAATAGGCTCATACGATAGCTTAAAATATGCACAAACAGCTTTTGACAATTTCTGTTATAGTGAAGAAGGTTTAAATAATACTTACAAGTTTAATTCTTTAATAAAAGGGTATTCTTTAGCTGGTTTGTTTTCTGATGCTGTGTTGATTTATGCAAGAATGGTTCTTGAAAATGTGGAGCCTGATGGTTACACTTTTCCTTTGGTTTTGAGTGCTTGTGCCAAGGATGGAAGGTTTTTTGAGGGAAGCGAAATTCAGGGTTTGGCTTTAAAATGGGGCTTTGGTGATGATGTGTATGTGTTGAATTCTCTGATACATTTGTATAGTGAATGTGGGGAGGTTGATAAAGCGAGGAAAGTGTTCGATAAAATGCCTGACAGAAATTTGGTGTCTTGGACTTGTTTGATTTGCGGGTACGCGAGGAGGGAGAAGGCTGAAGAGGCGGTTCGTTTGTTTTTTGAGATGGTAGAGGAGGAGGGTATTATGCCGAATTCTGTGACGATGGTTTGTGTGATTTCGGCTTGTGGGAAGTTGGGGGGTTTGGGATTGGCGGAAAGGGTGTGTGGTTATATTGGAAAGGCTGGATTAAAGGTCAATACTGTTATGGTAAATGCTCTTGTAGATATGTATATGAAATGTGGATCCGTGGTTAAGGCGAAAAGGCTTTTTGAGGAATGTGTTGATCGTAATTTGGTACTTTATAATACGATTTTATCAAACTATGTACGCCATGGGATGGTAACCGAAGCACTTGATGTCTTGGGTGAAATGCTTTCTTGTGGAGGACCTCGTCCGGATAGAGTAACTTTGTTGTCTGCTATATCAGCCTCGACAGAGATGGCTGATGTTTTCTTAGGAAAGCAGTGTCACGCTTATATTTTGAGGAATGGGTTAGAGAATTGGGATTCTATTGGTAATGCCATCATCGATATGTACATGAAGTGTGGGTGTCAAGAATGGGCTTGCAGAGTTTTTCACCGGATGTCAAACAAGACAGTGGTATCATGGAATTCACTAATTGCAGGCTTTCTGAGAAATGGTGATGTGGAGGCAGCTTGCAGAACCTTTAATGAGATGCCGGAGAATGATATTGTGTCATGGAACACCATCATTGGTGGTTTGGTACAACAGAGCATGTTTGAAGATGCAATTCATTTATTTCGTGTGATGCAGAATGAGGGGATTAAAGCAGATAGGGTGACAATGGTCAGTGTTGCATCTGCGTGTGGATACTTAGGTGCTAATGATATTGCTAAGTGGATATATAATTACATTGAGAAATACGAAATTCATCTAGATATGCAGCTAAGTACTGCGCTTATTGACATGTTTGCTAGGTGTGGCGATCCTCCAAGTGCAATGAAACTGTTCAATAAAATGAAGGAGAGGGATGTCTCTGCCTGGACTGCAGCGATAGGGGCTATGGCTATGGAAGGAAATGGTAAGCGGGCAGTCGAACTATTCTATGAGATGCTCCGGGAAGGGGTAGAACCTGACAAAGTTGTGTTTGTGGCTGTACTAACAGCATGTAGCCATGGGGGTTTAGTAGGAGAGGGAATGGAAATCTTCAGGACTATGAAAGAGATCCGTGGAATCTCACCACAGATAGTGCATTATGGGTGCATTGTTGATATGCTTGGTCGCGCTGGTTTATTGAAAGAAGCTATTGATATTATAAAAAATATGCCAATGAAGCCAAATGATGCAGTTTGGGGAGCTTTTCTAGCTGCTTGTAAAATGCATAAAAACGACGGGATGGCAACTTATGCAGCTGACATGATCTCTGAATCATCCCCAGATAAAGCTGGAATCCATGTGCTTCTATCAAATATTTATGCTTCGGGAGGGAAGTGGACTGATGTTGCCAAGGTAAGGATGTCTATGAAGGAAAGAGGGATAAAGAAGAACCCCGGATCAAGCTCAATTGAGGTGAATGGAACCGTTCACGAGTTTACTTCAGGTGATGAATCTCACCCAGAGCAGACCAGTATTTGTCTAATGCTAGAAGAAATGAAGTGCAGGGTTAGAGAGGCAGGTCATGTCCCTGATCTAACAAATGTTATGATAGATGTTGATGAGCAAGAGAAAGAATTCTTGCTTTATCGACATAGTGAGAAAATAGCCATGGCATTTGGACTTATCTCTACATCTCAGGGACATCCCATTCGGATTGTGAAAAACCTTCGAATGTGCTCTGATTGCCACTCATTTGCAAAACTGGTGTCAAAAGTATATGAACGGCATATTATTGTCAGAGATAACAACCGTTTCCATTTTTTCCAGAGAGGGTTGTGCTCTTGTGGTGATTATTGGTAGCTGCATTGTTGTATATGATTGTATGATAGTACATAGTATTGGTACTTTCTCAAATTTAATTGTGTAACTTCATCAAATGCTGTGATTATAAATTCCATTTATCTGGTCTAATAAATACTTAATTATAAAGCAAATTTAGCTTTGATCCGTTGGCAAAACCTGCGGTCCAATAACCAAGAGGTTCTCTCCCAAAGAAAAAAGGGAATTCTTTGTACTTCTCCAAGAATGTAGATAAGTTATTCCACATATTTACATGCTGTGTTCCATAACAGGGTGAACTCGCACCTTCTCTCAAAAAGCCAGAGAGAGAGAGAGAGAGAGAGAGAGAGAGAGAGAGAGAGAGAGAGAACGANATGAAAATAAAACAGACTCAAACCCTTAAGAAGGTTGTCATGCCATCCATCATCATGAAGAGCCACCCGGTTCACACAAACTCCACCTTTGAAAAGTACCGTGGCATTAAGAAAACCAAAGGCTTATTGATATCAAAAACTTGTAAAATAAGAAGCTACGAACCGAAAAAGAGGCTACTAAATGAAATAAGAAGCTATGCTATTAAGGAAAGTTGCAAAAGAAGTTATGAAGTAAAATGCCGAAATTAACTAAATATGTACAATAGGGGATTTAGACGAATATACATAAGAGGGAATGAATATAAACAATGAAAATGTAACTTTATATACATACCAAAATTGAAAAATAACGAAAATTAAATAAAGTAAATGGTAAATTTATATACATACCAAAAGTGAAAAAATAACACGTAAGGAAAAGTAAGTGTTACATTTACATCCCAGTATCACAAATCAAAATAGGACCACCCCCTCAAATGAAAGGTAGCATGTCCTCAATGCTAAATACCAAAAATAAGATCAAAAAGAGAGGGTTAGAGAGCAAAGACAACTCCCTATGGGTCCTCTGTCTACATGGGGTCCTATGGCTGGGTGCCTGGATCACTTGGCACGGGGTCCTGTGCCAATCCTGCCCAAGAGGTGCAAGGAATAGAGGAGTGAGTCTGTGTGGGGATAGGAACCAGCTGCATGTACTCTTGGTACATTCTCGCTCTTCTGAGAAATGCATCTGCATTGCACACCGCAGCCTGTTAGACCAGTTATATAGATGTAACTCATCGAATAATGGTCAGGGACCTATATGATAGTTAAACCGTGCACCTTTCAATTGACTGCAAACTAGTTTGAATAAAAATTCTTAAATGGATTTCCTGACAAAGGAAAAGATCTCATTGCAGTATCAGTACCATCAATAAACAGATTCTCAACCTGCACATTCACTTTGCAAAGAAACTATTCTATGATCCTCTGTTTTATGGAAGATGTCTCAAAAAACCTCCAAATCTCCAATGTCACAGAATCAATGTGAACTTAACAAAGAACATTTTTTTTATCAGTCGGACTTAACAAGAATATAACAAAATAGAAGCAGACGATCCATATAAATGGTCTTTTTGGGTTAATAATGCTAAGTATGGTGCTTGACGAGATCTTTTCAGTCTAGTTAGAGAGCTGCAGGTGAGCATCAGTAAAAGTGTGAGATATGGAAAAGTTCTAGACTTAGAGAACCCCTAGTTTCGCTAAAAAGACAAATTTACTTAGTATTGAAATGAAATGAGCTCAAAAAGAGAGAGACAAAAGAAAAAGAGCAGAACAGAAATTCATATTACTGACCCCAACAAATATGGAATTGAGGTGTAGTTGATTGATTGACTAATAAGTAACAGAAACGAGATCCATGGATGAGCTTTTCCAGGAACATATGGCTCTTTTGATACTGCTACGCTCTTCTTCACTTTCCTGCACCCATTGGAGGGCAATCCGTTCAGGGGTTTCTTAGGGACCGATTAATTCTGCGTACATTGACTAATGCAGGAAACCTTCCACTGGTGGGAAAAGCAAAGGGCAGAACAAATCTTTCTTTTATATGCTAACTCTTGGCGGACTTTCTCTCTTCCTATGCTCTATTTTTTATCAGTTTCTCTTCCTATCCTCTCATTCCTAGTCAATGTAAAATTCTTCCTGATAAAGAGTTGATCAGCCTGGTAACCTATGGCTAGAACTACCAGTAGATAAAGATTTCAAATTCCGGCTCCCAGACAAAAGGATAGGCTGAACTATCTCATCAGGTCTAGACCACATTTTTCTCCACTCAACCATCAGAACTCCATCAAAACAAGGAACTGAAGGAAAAAAGATATAAACAATACTCCCTTGCAGTAGATAGCCAGATATTTTTTAATAGGTAAGTAGATAGCCAGATGAATTGATTTTATCAAGATAAATACAAGGCGGCACTCACTTATGTAGTATAGTTGTTAAAGCTCCTTCAGCCCAATAGCATTAATGTTGAGTGATCCATTTATTGGACGAGAAAAAGCGGAAAAGGAAAAAAAAGACATCTTGAGTGACTTCATAGCATTTTCTGTTTCTGTTTTAAAAAAAGAATTTTGTTCCAAAGTTTCTTTTGCATGTTTCCATTTTCCAAATTTGCCAAAACTAGTTTAAAAGAGCAGCAAAGCTTTCCATGTCATGCATCCCCATAATAATGTTAATGCTCTACAATTTTAAAGCCCACACAAAATCCAAAATCAGAAAAACAGAAAAGTGAAAATGAGCAGGAAACAGAAAGAATGGTAGAAAAGAATCAATACCCGACTCCTGATCTGCCATTGAAAGCAGAATGAGAAGAGGGAAAAAAAACCGGAGGATCCAGAGAACGACCCCTCGCCCCTCGGCCTTTGGAAAATGCCTTTTTTTTTAAAAAGAAAAGCATACTTTTCGGTAGAAATATGCATTTTTGCTTATTTGCTTTTGTTCCCAAGGGTATGCATGATGAACTTTAGATGACTTATTAGATCGAAAATGCTTGCTTTCCCTAAATATAGCTAAAATCCATATATCAGAATAATATTTGTTTATTTTCAAGTAGCAGCAGAAATTACGTCTTTGTTGGCAGTTATGTTTCTCATTTCTTTACTGGAACATAAGAGTGTGATTGAACTTGATAAAAAAAAAACATAGAGTGTGATTGAAACTCAGATCCAAAATGGTACAGCACCCTCAAGAAACCTGAATCAGTCTTGCTTCCAAGCTGAAGAGTAACAAAAGAGACAACATAAATCAAGTTCGCTGAAATGATTTATCTCTAAAGGATTATCTAGCGATTTGGTTATTGGCATTTTACGCTTGACACTGTTCTTGCCTAAACATTTTAACTTCACATGTTTTCGAAAAAACAGTCAGTATGACCTTTGGCTGGCAAATACCAAGGTTTCATAAATCATGCTTTTTGGATATATTACTTTTGAGCCACTTAGAATTTACAAAACAGATAGTGGACAGTTACAAATACTATTGGATGATTTATCTAAATGTGCATAAAGCTTCATGTCAACAGTGTCATGTGAAGATTCTACATTACGGAAAGACATTTCAGAATACCATGCTAGCACCAAGACTATTAAACAAACTTCCCGACATATATCAGATGAATTTTACAGTTCCCTTCTATGTATTTTGCTTCGTTTCTTTACTTATATTTAAACTGGCCGGTAGATGCATAAGCAATGTATTACAGTATGTGCATAGATTCGCAAGCTTGATGGGAGTAAATTTTGCCCCCAGCTAACTCAAATTCCTATTTTGTCCTTGATTGTCCTAGTCCTCATATTGGAACAGGAGTTGTTATATTTAAACAAGGAGATGAACTTGTCTCTCCTCAAATCAAACTAACATGAAGCACTGTGCCAAAGGGCTAACATATCCTAAAACTTAGCCAAAAACAGAATAATTTCAACCTAAAAAACTTCCCAGCTTAATCAAGAGAAGAAAATAAAATTTTCTGTGTAACAGCGACTAAAATCAATCACTGCTGAGGAATACCATATAACCGCTTGAATAGATGGAAGAACAAAAACTAATATCTATCAAAAAGAAAAAAAGATGAAAAGAGAACTTCTAAATGGAAGTACACCTGACCATGTCTGAATGATGACAAATACCTTCAGAAACAAGTTCTTGACCAATATTGAGATTGTCGCTCATATGCTCGCTTTCACACTTAACCGTGTCTAAATGATCACAAATAGTTTTAGTACCTTCAGAAACAAGTTCTTCAACAACTTGGTCGACAGCAATGTTATTGCTCATCTGCTCGCTTTCTGCTTTATGCTCATCCCCATCAGATGAAGATGATTCATCAGATGAGACATCCACTTGTTCACCAAATGGCATAGCCCTCTTCATGGCTAAAAATGTGCAGACATTTAGAGAAAACAAAAACATTTAACAATCCTGCAAATGGAATCTCTCAGCTGTACTGAATCAAACTAGTTTACAATAGAAAGGGGGGGAGTGAACGAAGAATTCAGAACTGGTTCCACTTGATTCCATCAGCAAAAACTTATCAATCAGTGAATGAGAAATTGGTCGGTAATTCATACAGATTTGAATGATAGCTATCTTTGATTTTCACAGCCGAAAGCTGCAAGTTTCTATAGCCAACAGTTAAGTTCACGCGAAATAGCAGATTCAACAAAGTTCAAGCACCACCAAGACTTCCCTTTTATGTGCATATAACCTTTAATCTATCGTATTCACTAAGAAGTAAGAAGAAGAAAAAACATTAATGCATTGCAAAATACAAGATAAAACTAAGAGTACTATGTACAACACAACAATAACTATACCTCAGTACCAAACAAGTTAAGGTCGGTTATATGAATCCTAACTGGCCATATTTTCCCCCTTAAATTCATCTCAGGCAAGAGTACTAAGTATTACAAACCCACTCTTTTAGTGTATCTCAAGACAAATGAAGGGCAACCCATACAATGATTAGAGATAGATAATTCATGAATTACTTCCATCCCAATTAGTAAAAACTACCAATACCATGTAAAGATTTCATTTTTATTTTTGGAATTTTTCGTTTTTCTCTTAGAACTTTTTTCTTTGCCAACTTTCCTTTATTTTTCTTCTTAAAACTAATGTCGAGAGAATTACAAGGGGAATACTTAAAGGGAACTGAATAAACAATAAATGGTCACAAAATTGGAGCTTTTCAGCATGGGAAAGAAATGTAGAAATCGAAAATTTTAATTTTGTCTTCATGCAAATAGAGCAGACACAGAGCAACTCGCAAAAGAATTAGAAAAAGGGAATGAGGATTTTGTGGGGGAATAAGAATAGAACCTACGACTCAATTTCGCCGGAATAATGATCGGCAATGGATTCGCCGGAGCGGAGCAAGGTGGTAGACCAGGGTGATTTAGTCAGATTCTACACTTGATATTTTACTATAGTGTGGTCAAAGATATCATATAATTGGGGTTGGGTCCGTTTTACTTATTGAAAAAGACAAAATGAGTCTAAATTAGAAAAGTAAAGAATGAAAATTGTTTGAATTAATATTAGTAGAAGGTTGCACATTAAACTTGGAGTAGATATGGACTAATTTGGATTTTGGATACATGCCTATTTGAAGCAAAAAAGTATTGGTGAAATGTTATGTCAAATTTCATTTGTAGTCGGTGGAAACAATTATTTTTCGCTAGCCATGAATTAAGCCATACAATTTATAGCCCCAAACAAATTATAATAGCTAGCCTAAATTTGCTCAAATGCGGTAGATTTCTTGGTCCTTCAGGAAGTGTTCCCTCTAGTCTCATGTTAACGAGAACTAATCTCTTAGAAATTTGTTTAAACAACAGACAATAAGAAACAGATTCATTTATCTGGAAACCTAAGATAAAAGAAATGCTAGTTAATCAGAAAACCAGAAAAACAAAGTTATTCATACAGGACTTGGAAGTTTATAAAGTTCACAAAAAATTCAGGAAGCTTTCCGGTAAAACGATTGTCAAATGCCTATCTGAAGCACGACAAGGAACTACAAGTTAGTACGGCAAAGTTGAACAGTTTTTTCTTGAAATATTATTGGACAATTTTGACTAGCGTTGAGGGCTAGAGATGAAGATCGTAATATCATTCATCACTATGTACAGACTGTCACTATACAAAATGACTGTCACTTATCTGTACAATTTATATACAATAGACTGTCACTATACAAAAATATACTAAATAGACTGTCACTATACAAAATAGGCGAAATACATAAACGGCCCCTTTAAGATGTCCTCAACGGTCACACAAACACCTCAACTGAGCCCATTTTCAGTTGGACACTTCAAGCCTTCAATATAGTAGGTCAATTAAACACCCGACCTCATCAGCGCACCTCCCGTGAAATACACTCTCGAATTCATGTCAAACGAACAAATGAGAAAATGCCATGTGTAATTTTAATTAAAAAATTTGCCACCTATTATAAAACAACAACAACAATAACAACAACAACAACAACAACAAAGGCAATAATAATTTAAAAAAGAAATAAGAACAATAATTATGAAAAAAGCTCATTTAATCACCATCTCTATGAATCACCGTCGGCCCTTCCTCCTTTTCTTCAGCAACTATTTCCTCTTTTTCTCCTTAATCACCATTTTCAATTCCATACCTCCTTCTTTGATTTCCTTTTTTTCAGATTCCTTCCCCCTTATTTTCATTTCAGATTTCCTCCTCATCCTCCTTCAATTTAAATCCCCAACCCTCAATAGCGTTAACCAACCCATTGTGTTTCAAGCACCACCACCATTTTTGCCACCTTGGTAGTGATGTGAGATTGTTTGGGAGCTATTGAAGGTGATTATCAGCTTGGAGAGGTTGAATTTGGTAGAAGTGGATCTGAAATTTTTTTGGTGGACCGTGGTACTGAGCATATTTGGCTTCTAAAATATTCATATTTTCCTTGATTTTAGAAGTAACTGAGCCTATTTTTCATGGACCAATCAACGTGGCGGTCACAGTTGCCGTAAATGAAGAACAAGAGAATAAGATTGATATGATATTACTACTGTTCTAACAAAGTATGATTTTTTAACACAAAAAAGGTGGACTTATCTTCTTTAATATAATAGTCAACTGGATTTGTGTTCTGGTAGTTGGGCTGCCCTTTTACTGGTGGATGGTGAGTTGTTTTCTTGGGTGGTACGGTGGCCGGAGTAACCTTTTAGGATGGCTGGTTGATGGAGCGGTCGAATGGGGGGTGGGGGCAAACTTTAGTTAGTATTTTAGGTCCATTCACGCGCTGAAATTGGATTGAGCAACATACAATATGACATGTTAGCATGAGGTGTTTAGTTGACTTATTTTATTGAAAGCTTGAAGTGTCCAACTGAAAATGGGTTCACTTGAGGTGTTTGCGTGATCGTTGAGGACAATTTAAAGGGGCCGTTATGTATTTCGCCTACGAAATATATACAAAATAGACTATCACTGTACAAAAAATATACAAAATAGACATTTTCGGGCTATTAGATGTAATATGTTTGGGCCGGAGGGACATTTCGTGTCAGTGGGAAAAAACATGGACTATTAAACTCCATCAATAACACTAGGGGTGTCAAATGGGCGGGTTAGGTCAATTTTGGGCGGGTCAAAATGGGTTGAGTCAATAATTGGGCGGGTCAAATGATCCGCCCAAAAGTTACTTGGGCTAAGATGGGTTGCGTCAAGATGGGTTAAAATTCGGGTCATAACCCAACCCGCCCAACTCTTATTAAACTTTAATTAATATGTGTTATTTTCTTATAAATTGTATAATTACTAAATAAGGCTTTTTTTGCTTTTGTTATGGTCATATTTAAAATATTAAACAAAAATGAAATTATTTCTAAGATATTTTGACAAACTTACTCATGGATCAATTTGGGCTAAAAATTAGCCCAACTTTAAATGGGTTGAGATGAGTTGGGTTAAGATAGGCTAAGTTCAATAAATGGGCGGATCAATAAACAATCCAACCTTGGGCGGATTGGGCGGGTCATTTGGGCTTGGGCCAAATTTGACAGCCCTAAATAACACACACCTTCGTATACATACTTTTTTTTTATGAGCAAAGCACGTGGAAATTCTTTTTGATATTGAATAACGGTTAGATCCGAACCCAAGATCTCTGCCTGCTCTGATATCATGTTGAAGTATGTAACCATTTCATCTAATAGTTTAAAGCAAACTTTTATTTTTTACTTAATTATATCTCCAACAAGTAAATTTTGGCCGTAAAATTATTTTTGCTAAACTTTTACAAACAGGTCAAAACTTAAACGGTAAGATCGTCGCACTGACTAGTTATTTATTATTTTTTTAATTAAAAAATAACCATTGTTATGATATCTTAACGGGGATATTCATAAATTTTTAGTACTCCTATGATATTTTAACTGTTAAAACTCCAAGAGCAGTGGCTATTTGTGAAATATTTCCCGCTAAAATCTTGACATTGGCCCAAGCCCATAGCTCTTCTGACGGCCCAGCCATAAACAACAATATCATGGTATAGCCAGTTTTCACACTGGTCAATGAAAAATAGCCAGCGTTTATCAAGTCGATGAAAAATAGCCACTATTTTGCTGTAACAGGGACCGGTCCAGTATAATATACGGGAGTTCTGGTGCATTTGTGTACGAACTCCGGCATATTATGCTGGACTGGTATACTTTGCTAACTCCTGTAAAATTTGCGGGAGACTGGAGCACCAGTGCTCCAAACTCCAGTATATTATACTGGACAATTATACTTGCTGGAACTCCCATAAAATTTACGGGAGTTCCAGCATAATTATGCTTGAACTCCCGTAAAATTTGTGGGAGTTCCAGCATAGTTATCCTGGAACTCCCGTAAAATTTACGGGAGTTCAAGCATACTTATGCTGGAACTCCCGTAAAATTTGCTGGCGTATTTTCCGGAATTTTAAACAGTATTTTCGCTCAGATTTAAAGTGGCTAAATTTCGATGACTTTTGAAACTTGGCTATTTTCAACTACCAGTAATAAATCTGGCTATTTTTGAATTTCTCCCTAAAAACATACCCAAATCCAAACCCGTTTTCCGCCTGAAAGTCACTGAAGCCGCCAACTTCTTCTCTCTTTCTGCAGCAAACTCCTCAGTTGTAAATCAAATTGTATGTTTTTCACATACTTTCACTTGTTTCTGTCTATTATTTTTTCTCTGATTTTAATCAAATGGTAAATTACGAATATTAGTGAAAATGGACTGTGTTTGTGCCTATATCTTTAGTGGAAGCATTCGGTACTGAAATCAGTGAACTGGGTATGCTGAGTCTTGATACTACTATTATTGTTCTCTTTTTTGGTGATTAAAAGCTAAACTTGAACTTGTTTTGCTGGGTTGCTCTAATGAATTATACTTGGTAGGGCATAAAATTGAATTAGCTATTTGGGAGCACTTAGGGTTGTTTGGTTGACTGGTTTGTTCTAAATGCAGGGATTGTTATGCCGCGAATAATAATGATATAGGAATTGTTTAGACGATAGTTTTACTAATTATTATACGTGTACAAATTTTAATTAAAATAAAAATCTTCAAACTAAATATTACTACTGTTATGGTTTTTATTTTCATTATAGGGGAATTTTTGTAGGAGTATCTATTAAGTAAAACTAAAACAAGATGTCTTAAGGGTATTATTAATTCATGTATTGTTATTTCACATTGGGTCAATCCCAGAAAAATAAGTAGTATTGTGGAACAAAATTAGTAACCAACGGCTACAAAAAGCTCAGAGTTTTATGTGATACTATTAGGTTTCTTTATGTGGGAAGCCAAATGATCTTTCATTGGGTATCTTAAAGATGCTTCAGTGCTGATACTTCCTTTATCATTGTCAGGTAAGTTGAAATGATATCAAACTTGAAGCATTTCCCCTACTTCTGGTGTTTGAGAGCTCGAAGGCGTCTGAATGTGTGGAGAAGTTCTGTTTACTATGTTTCTGATTATTTGTTGTGCAATAGATATTGTACTGTGACAGAGACAGTTAATACTAATCAGCTGCCAAAGGTGACCGAGTCACCAGAACTTCCAGATTGGGTTAAAATTGTAAAGAAAGAGGAAACAGTGGTTGACTTTGGAGATGATGACTTCTTACTTCCCTCATTCTCAGAATGGGTAAAAAATGAGAAGCTTCGTGCAAGGGAAGTTGATGTGAGAGGTTTGGCAAGCGATATTGCAGACAACGATGTTGATAAGATCAGCAAATTATTAAGGTTTCATTTCAAATCACCCGATGCTGTTGTAGATGCGTTGAATAACTGCACATTTGATGTTTCAGAGTGTTTGGTTGAGCAAATTTTGAAGAGGTTCAGTTGTGAGTGGATACCTTCTTACGGGTTCTTTAAATGGGCAAAACTGCAAAAGGGTGTCACACTTTCCTCTGATTTGTATGATCTAATGGTTGACAACTTGGGAAAATCAAAGAAGTTTGATCTTATGAGGGAATTGATGGACGAAATGAGTCACTTGCAAGGGTATGTTTCATTGAATACTATGATTAAAATCATGAGAAGGCTTGCCAAGGCTGGTAAATATGAGGATGCAATAGAGGCATTTACAAGAATGAAGGAATTTGGCGTACAGAAGGATACAAGTGGTATGAATGCATTAATCGATGCATCGGTGAAGGGAGGAAGTGTGGAGCATGCTCATAAAGTTTACCTAGATTTGAAGGATCATATAGCTCCAACGGTCCAAACATATAATATCTTAGTGCATGGTTGGTGCAAAGCTAGAAACATTGACAAAGCAAATGAAACTGTTAAAGATATGGAGGAGCGTGGTTTTAGCCCTGATGTGGTTACATATACTTGCTTCATTGAAGCCTATTGTCGTGAAAAAGACTTTCGCAAAGTTGATGCTATTTTCAAAGAGATGCAAATGAAGGAGTGCTCACCAACTGTGGTGACGTATACCATAAACATGAAAGCACTAGGGCAGGCAAAGGAAGTGGACAAAGCCTTGGATGTATATGAGAAGATGAAACAAAATGGTTGTGTTCCTGATAATTCGTTTTACAGCAGCTTGATCCACTTGTTAGGAGCAACTGGGAGACTGAAGGATTGTTATGATATATTTGAAGATATGCCAAAGCAAGGAGTTTCACCTGATACGTTCACATATAACACCATGATTACAATTGCTGTAAAGAACTCTAACGAGGAGGATGCTTTAAAATTTCTCCAGAAAATGGAGGAGAGTCAATGCAAGCCTGATATTTGTACTTACGCGCCATTATTTAAAATGTGCTGCAGAATGAGAAGAATGAAGGTGCTATCCTTTCTATTGAATCACATGTTCAAAAATGACGTGAGCATGGATCTTGGAACGTATGCTCTTCTGGTTCGCGGTCTTTGTAGGAACAGGAATCCTGAGCGTGCTTGTGCTGTTTTTGAGCTAGCAGTGCTTCGAGGATTCCTCCCTACGGATACCATGTATGATAATCTCGTCAAAGAACTTGAGGAAAGGGGTTTAAAGGAAGAAAAGAAACGTATCGAAGAACTGATGTTACAAGCTAAACAGCAAGAATCAGGCACTTCATCTGAGAGACATTTAAAGATTGAAGAATGAATCTTTTCTTGTTTATAAGGGAAATGTTGTACACTTCTTTTTCGTGATATTAGTTGCAACTATTATGGAGCTTGTTCTATCATTCAGAGGCATATTTTAAAGCCCCATAACATCACATTCAGTGAAGTGAAGTCAGATTTGGTCGACAATGCCATGGTTTCTGTAAAGTCACCTTACTAATTAGCTGGTCCCAAATTTATGAGAACTTTCCTTTTCCATTGTAGAGTAATTACATATCAGGCCTCATAATATTTCCTACTGGATTAAGGATTCTTTTCTTGTTTTAGGGGGAGAAATTAAAAAATAGCTAGATTTACAAGTGGTCATTCAAAACTACCAACAGTTTCAAAAGTAATCAAAATTTAGCCACTTTTCATGTAAAGATAAATCTGAACGAAAACAATGTTCAAAATCCGGAAAATACTCCAGCATAATATACTAGAGTTCCAGTATAATATACCGGTCTAACATAATATGCTGGAAGTTCATACACAAGTGCTCCAATCTCCAGTACATTATGCTGGAACTTTCCGCGTGTTGGAGTTCCAGCATAAATGCTGAAAGTTCATACACGTGTGCACCAATCTCCAGTATATTATGCTGGAACTTTCCGTGTTTCAGCAAAACAATGGCTATTTTTCAATGACTCTGCAAACGCTGGTTATTTCAATGACCAGTCCGAAAGCTGGCTAGCCCGTGCTATTTTTACTGTTTTAGGACATAACCAGCAGTTTCTCCTTTATTTGCTCTTCATAATTTCATATCATTAAGGTGTTAAGATTCCTTTGCTTGAAAGAAAATTGGACAAAATGGAAAGACGTATCTTATTGTATTCAAATGAAAAGAAATACAGAGTACTGTTGAGTATGTGTTGGAACATATCTTTGAGCATAATGTACAGTTAACGCATCCAATTTGCTGGACCTAAAAAGGAGAAGTACACAATTACTACCAATGCATTCACGGGAAACCAGCCAAACTTCTTGACTAGAACCATTGTTAAACATGGAACAAGTGTTTTTGATTCAGAAGCTTCCACACTTGGAAAGTAACACTAAGAGTTAATATGCTGTCTCGCTTCCCGGGAGAACAGTGAATTCAATCTACTATGTTGAGTTAATCTCTTTGTCCTTGGCCTTTGCCATCCTAGTCTTTCCAAAAACTCCTCTATCAACCTGAAAATGAACGATTAAAGGGCATCAGAATATCAGAGTGAGGACACTATTGAAACAGAAAAAGACTTTTAGTTATACTCACATGCTGCAAATAGCCTTCTGTGAGGACGCCAGCTCTCGATCTGGAAAGCTCTCCTCCAAGCGATAACTCAACCAAACATACAGATCCAAAACCTTCAATTGAATTTGATAAGAAATAGATAATCAGTATAATCTATTTGAAATTCTACCCAGTGAAAACCTACATAAATTCATCATCAAATAACAATAAACACATTTAGCAACCATCTTGAAATGCAGTGGACATCAGTTTTCATAAGTGTATGATATGCTTATGCTTCTTTCTAAAAATCAAAGAGCAAGGAAACTTAAAATCAGTTTGTGTTGGTCAAAAATTTCGTCGCCAAGTAACATCAGTTACAGCAGTCTAGACACATACATCAGAAAACAAGTTTGCACCAAGTTAATATCTATGTTAAAGCAGTGACAGGAGGCAAGTGATTTTCAAATAAACAAGAAAACAGTTACACCCTCAACTTTTTTCAAGCATTATGACTTTGTTTTCATGTTTGATAGCATAGAGCAGGAAATGGTGCATATGAAACCAAAAAACCGGGTCAATCTCCCTCTAACGCAAGTGATAAGGAGCTTGTGTACATGAAATTCTCAAGGAGTCAGAGAAATAAAATGAAAATTTAACATACTTCAACTGAATTTACATAATCGGAATTTCATAAAAATTTGTGACTGACAATAACTATGCACAAAAACTGGAAAACTTTCATAGAATGGAAGAAGCCGAGACGGAGTGACAAGAACTTCTACACTACCCTTGCACAACAGGACTGTCTTAACCTCAATACCCAAAACTACTTCAGGTTGGCTATATGAACCCTCTATATCCATCCACTTTATTGGGGCCTATTTCATACTATTATTGTAACAATTTGTCTTTCAAAACAAATTAGGGATTCTCTAAACTAGTTGAGCAAAATACAACAACAACAACAAGAACAACATACCCAGTAATATCCCACACTGTGGGGGGTCTAGAGAGGGTAATGTGTACGCAGACCTTACCCCTATCTTGTGAGGATAGAGAGGCTGTTTCCAATAAGTGCAATTATTATAATCACTAAGGTAATGACTACCAAAATGCTTTCATAAGCATAAAGCATTCGGAGATCAGTCTAAATACTTGAACTGCTTAACAAGTGTGGACAAAGTGTGAAGTAGCAAAATACGACATGCTAACCTTGTGAATTGATTCAAGCTCCTTAAGTGCAGTATGAGATTTTGGCACCTTAAGCGTCCCAGGAGTAAATATTTCGCGCAGCCGTACCAGGCCATTTTTAGAATAATTTGTTGCAAACTGATGCATCAAAGCAGAGTGATCATGTAAATTCCTCATCCAAAACAATCATCCTTGAAATGCTATAAGGTGAAAAATCATCTTACTTGAGTGAGGCCTTGAGATGAAATGTCATCATCCATGTCAACTGGACTACATACGAGAAATAAAATGCGTCAATGATACTCTTCTGACATCGGATTATTCTCTATCAGGAGCATATGCAAATAACATATATACGTTTAAGAATTTCTTGGGGTGTTTATATATACTCATAATTGTTGTTATAATTTCAAAGCTGATACAGTAACTCTGGCTTCATTTGCTTGCATGCCTAAAATGTTCTCTGTTACTATTGTCAAGCTACAGAAAGCTATAAACATGTCATCACTTCCACTTATCTTCTTTGTAAGAGCCAAAGATGTCACCTTATACAGAAGAGATATTTATCGTGCAAACTGAGGGGTAGTGTATCGATAAGAGCAGCAACTTTCTGTTCCAAGGTACAGTACAATCAATAATCAAAAAGAGCAGAAAGATCAGTAATCCAACAAAACGAATAACTGCAAGGACAGAACACATTCTAGAAAAACAGTCCGCTACTAGATGGAAAGGAAACAAATTGACCAAGAATACCATACCAACATTTCTTCACAATTAGCAATGAAATAGTGCTCCGATAACTTGGCATTGTCCAGAAAATGCTCCTGCAAAGACAAAGGTAGAATCATTCTGAGCACTCAACTTGCAATCCCGCAGAAAGGCAAAATGGTAATAAACCACTCAGTGTTTAACAGTTTCAGTGGCAAAAGCCATTGTACTAGGAACACATCCATTGACATTATTTTTGCCATCCATAATTTTCTAGTAATGGCATTTGGAGAAGACAGAAACACAAACGAGGATAGTTTGTTTGGAAGTTATAGTTAGATGATTACTGTAAAACTAGACTATGAGAATATATGTTGGGGAGAATCTGAGTTGGTAACTTACCAGTATCTCATGTAGGCCATGCTTTGGATGTAGACGAGAATACATGTATAAAAGGTCGAAGTTTGGAAAGAGGCCAGCTCGCTGCATTGTAAATTATTGCTCTTCAGTTACCATGATCTAATCTCTTGATTAGAACATCCCACTAAAATTGGAGCATTTTAAAGAATTTATTTTGTCAGGGAAGCTGCCTCCACCATAAAATGACAAGAAAAGCAAGTATGATATTCCAGCATTTAGGGTGGCACTAATTCAGCAGCAAGTAAATTACTTCAAGTACAGGAGATGGAGAATCCAGCGAAGAATGAAGTAGTGGTAGATCATCTGCGTCCAAGCAAGTTACTTCACCAACAGAAAACTTGGATTTGTACCTGCCTGCTCTCCCTACAAGAAAGTGTAATCATCGAAATAGTGATTTCAGAGATCATTGATACTTGAGATGCTAAATGCGTAAGTGTTGGATGATGCTCAAGAGAGCTCCTGAAAATCATTCTAAGTGTCTATACCATTTAGATTTGAAACTCACTCTATTCGGATTACATAGTAAAGCAGCTAAAACGGCTATCCAAAAAGCCCAAAGTCCAAGACACCAAGGAAGAATTTTTCGAAAACTCTTTCCAAACAGATTTTTCCATCAATAATGGGACGTTACGAATTGAGTAAATCAGAAATTAAGAAAACTTTGATTTGGGTAGTATCTTTTCTCATGACAATAACATTGTTCTGTTCCTATATATTTACACATTAAAAGGAAGGAGGTTAAGATGTGTCTCATCACAACATTAAGCTTTTATTTAACTTATCTCCTATAATTCAAATGTTAAAAGGAAGGAGGTTAACGTGCATCCAATCACAACAATAAGCTTTAGACTTTACGTATAAACAGAGTCACTGCATTGTCAATTAAGCAGAAACACAGTATAGAAAACTACTAAACCATTTCTGACCACCAGCAGTGAAAATTAGAAGTTAAAAGGATGATACTGCATCCCTCCAAAGATGAGTACTCAATCAGATCTGATCCACTATACCAAGTTGTGCTCCAGTAAAATAACATACCTGCTATCTGCTTTATCTCTGGCACAGTTAGGTCCCGCATTTCAACACCATCAAATTTCTTTAATGTTGAAAATATAATTCTAGAAATGTTAAGGTTGAGACCCATCCCAATAGCATCACTCGCTACAAGAACATCAGAGTCACTGCTTGCATCATTGAACAATGTTGCCTGCAATCTTACAGAATATATTTACTAACCAATTTGCCAGCACGATAATAGACATCAAAACAGATTGCAATTTAGGCAAGTCATCACAGATGGGAATGCCATTCAAGCTGTAACATAAACTAGGTCTATCATAGCACACTGAAGGAAAAAAAAAATAAAAAACAAAAAACACTTGTAAGAAGAATAAGTATGGCCAGATGACAGGAAGGCCAGAGTAAAAAGTTGATGATTAAAGAGACTCATCTAGGATGAAAATGTTGATAAAGTGAGTTATATCCTCAGCCTGAACAAAAATGGATTACAACTAACCAAGAAACAAATGCAGGGAACATCAATTGTAGGAATACTTAGCAGATGACTGGACACGAACCAATCTTAACTCCAATGTAAACAAAAAGAAAAGATCAGAATTAAACCTGTCTAGTTCGAGTCTCTGGTGGCAATGAACCATAAACAACAGAGCAAAGATGCTTTCCCCCCGTTTCAATTAGTTTCTGTTAACATCAAGAGC